TGGAGCGTGGGATGCTGGAATAGATAATGTTGCTGATGATACTGTGAATTTGATGCAGTATGCTACTGAGGTATTGACATTGTTTTCTTTTATTTAACCACATGTATTGTTTGAAAAGAAATAATGTTGAACTGCATCTATTTCAGTACCTTATAAAAGACATTCTAACTATATGCTGTACAAGACGAAGTACTTATCGATTACGAGACCATTTTCGGTATGCTGTTGGAACTGCATATCCCAGAATGCATCTGACGAACAGTTCAGTTAATTGGCCCTCAGATGAAAGGACGACAGACAGGTGCAGCAAATCACCCTTATGTTTAAACGCTCTTATTCTTTTCTTTGCAACTCAGAATATTGTTACTATATAGATATCTAATTCCCATGGGATTCAAACGATAAAAGACCGACAGCCATGTTGGAGAAATGAACAATAGATGCTAATGAGAAATCCATTGTTAAAGCTCCTCCAGGTTGGACGCTGTGACATGAAAACGAAGAATAGAAAGTTCTGGATTAATCAGAGAATTTATCACGTGACTGCTCCATAATTTAGTCCGAGTAAACGCTCTAAGAGCGTCTAGGTGAAAATACCATCCCTTACTTTTTGTTTCAGATGTATAGCTGGGATATCAAACAGTGCTAATAGGCGAACACAAGAACAAGCAGCAGCTGAAGCAGCATTGTTAGTATCGTCAGCTGACAGTCAACAGTCCAAAAGATCTCCTATTTCTCCTTGTGATTTACAGGACTCACTACAGGTATCATTACCATTATATCACTGAATAATCAAGTGGGTGTCTCGCATGAAGACGTCACAAATTATAAAAGCGCTACCTGACCATTGCATCATAAAAAAGATTTGTTGTAAATGACGTGATATTGCGGCGGTAGGGTGTGCCCTGTGCACCAGTGGATACTTTCCCATCCCTGATCGTCTTTTTGAACTCCGGATTTAGTGGGCTCAATAAAGGAACAGGTCGACATCTATGTGATAGTTACGCAATTTTTATTGTTGTCCTTCGAGGATATTGTTATATATATATATGAGCAATGTCATTGTAAAAGGCACCAACGCTGCTAAGGTCCCTTTTGTTCGCGGCTCTCTACCCTACAGGTCACTGCTAAGGTCCCTTTTGTTCGCGGCTCTCTACTCTACAGGTCACTGGGCGTGTTCTCTGCCTATTTGAAGTTACAACACTCATATAGATGTGTGATAGGAATAATGATCGTCGCAGTGAATTTTGGTAATCTAAGCGATTTTTAATCAATAATCAAATCAGCCGAAAATCAACTTTTTTTGTTCTTCTTTCTTTAAAAAGTGCTATTTTTGCAGTTAATTAAATTCAAGCTAAAACCAACATCAAACAACAGGAAACTCGAGTTAAATTGAAGTGCACATGAACCCTTTTAGATAATCATTTTATTCAAAAGAGAACATGCTGCTAAGCACAAAGGAACATTTATATCTTGTGATTTAAAAGCATTTGAAAATCGAAAACGCAAATCAAGTGACGTCTACTAAGGAATGTTCAATTTGAAAAATAACGAAAAAAGGACATTGTTTTTTCAGATCGGAAATAACATTCCCAGCTCTTGAATATTACTGTTATTGATGATTTGACCATTTCAACCTAACACAAGATATCGCAAACAATGCAAAACCTCCAGCCCAATTCCTTGATTGACGTCACTTCATCAGCATTTTCAAAAATTTCGAAACAACTTTTTTTTTTCTTTAAAAATGATGCTTAAATAAATAAATAAATAGATAAATAAATTAGTGGTACTAATCGCCCATCCTTGCAGCCCGAGTGCTGAATTACGAAGGACGCAGCTCACGTGATCGGGTCGGTTATGCGGTATACGAGGGCGCTATCACTACGAGGACAATCACATAGTTATAACACACACACAAAGCAGCCAACCAACCGACCCATATCCTATCACGGAGCACAGCTAGGATCGAAATGTTCCATTTCTGCTGAGGAAGGAAAAACCGGAGAACTCGGAGAAAAAACCCTCGAAACAAGGGAGAGAACGGAAACAAACTCAAGCCACATATGATCCCAAGTCAGAATCGAACCCGGGGCCACAGCGGTGACAGGCCGACGCTCTCACCGCTCGACCACCCTTGCTTCCCTACGAATTCCGACAAGTGATCATCATATTTGCCTTTTGTTAAAAATGATTTTCTAAAAGGAAATTCATGTGCACTTTAAGTTTGTCAAACGTTTGTAAATGTTCGATGTGCGATGGTGCGAACAGGTATGAAACACATTAAGTTGGTATGCTGGGAGGCCATAGAGTAAATTATTACACAAATCAAGTCTACTTGTAACGAAAGCACAAGGGTTTGGGTTGTTACACAGAATTAAGAAAATCCTTCTAAAGTTAAATAGTGGCAATCCATTCTCAGTTAAGAGGTTTCTAGCTTGAGATTTCTAGCTTGAGATTTCTAGCTTGACTCGATAGTGGTACATGTGGTATGGTAGACTCACCAACTTCACTTGTCGGAATTCGTGTTTCCAGAGCCACTGTTTTTCGTTGAGCATGCGCAGTAAGAGGGACAGGGGCGCTGGGTTCGAGATTGACTAATTGTTGAAATTTTCAAATCGACTGCGCAGATTGAACAGATCTGCACTGATACTAACCGATGTCTGTCGGGGCACTTTGTTCTGAAAAATAAAAGCGCCCTTCGGACAACCAATTTTCGACCATGACTTGCATTGCCGTAATGGTAGAGGAATTTGCTGCCCAGACACTGTTCCTCCCTATTTATATATGTTGTGCATTTTCAGATCCATCGTCGAGTAANATACTTAGGCATTTGGTCTGCTATTGTCTGCTACGGGTTAGGTGAAAGGATTCTAAGAAATATCTACATCTGGCTGTGTCCAACCCAAAGTCATGATCAGGTTTACTATATGAAAAGACAAAAGTCCTCAATCTTGTGTATATTAAAAGGGGATCATTAATTGCAAAATGCAAATCGGTTATTTGATGTTCTGCTCATAACCTTGATTTATTTCAAGCAATTGACAATATACTATACTATGATATACAGCTATTTCAAAAAACGTTGTCGGAGAGAACGGCGAACGGCGATTGTCGAAGGGAGATTGCACGACCGAAAGGGACTATGGTTACACTGTTTTGATAAACAAAATTTCACTTATTGGAGTCACCTTGCATAGAAATGGAAACTAAATGAAGCCAATGTTTATCGCAGACAATCATACAGTACAAGTCAGTTGTTGTTGCCTTTCAACTAGCAAAACCCATGGCTACTTTCGGTCGTGCAATCGCCGTTCGACAATTGACATTCGCCATTTTATCCGACAACTTTTTTTGAAATAGCTATATTCGGATTTTATGCGATTAGTGGTTTTTCATGCTAATTAACATATGCTATGTTTTCACAAAAAACTCAATTTTTCATAACATTTGCCCTTTTTATTTTGATGAAAATGGTAGAATTTTTTTATAATTGTGTGACAAACTCTGGCTAAGTTTAAAAAAATTCCTTAGAGCGGAAGTCCTTTTTCGACATTTTTTTGCCATGTTAATCACTTCTCCGAGACTTCGGCTCCAAGGAATTTCTCAAAACTTGGCTAGATTGTGTCTTATGTTTATATGAATGGATCCGTAAGTAGTCATCATAATAAAACGAACCATTTTTCTGRAAAATGTAGCCTGTATTACATCCGGAATTCTGTACGTAACACAGGCTATGAAAAACGAAGTTCTTGTGAAACCAGTACATATGTTAATTAGCATATAAACTGCACCCATTATTTAATAAGTTACACTGATATGAAAATATCATAGTACTTGGGTAAATGATTGCTTTAAAAGTTRRTCAAGTTTCACTTTAAGTGTTTGAAAGAAGCCAAAGTTATGAGTGGAACATCAAATARCCTATTCTATTTTGCAGATGAKTATCTACMTTTTAAGAAAATAGCCTTACAAAATTCTCAACAGATTTGTTATTTGCGTACATTAAAAAAAAAACAGTTTTCGAGTATTTCAATCATGGTGCTTTAGTTATGGACAGCTGTCTATTATATTCTCACAGTTATACGGCCTCCACTGGAATAGTGAAGAAGTTATTGGATGGAMAAACAATAACTTCCATTATTTCGTGTTTCCAAATTTGAATAATTTCAAACTCGATAAATGAGGAAAGTGAGTTTATGATTAGACGTCCCCCTCCCACCCATCCCTACTCCCTTTTCACAACTACGACATAAGCAGAGTCCGAGAGTAAAAGAAAGCAATTATGTAATACATAACAAGTTAATAGACCAATCCCGCATTCGCTTGGGTGAACACAAAACAAATTCTCATTTCGAGGCTGGAGTTYWATCTTTTGTCGAAAACTCCAGCCTCGAAATGAAGCCATTTTAGTTCGTGTTCWTCCAAGCGAATGCGGGATTGGTCTATTAAAGACGAATAACCAAGAAAAACAATCATATTGTCTTCCTTAAAAAAAGGATTAAAATCCTTAAATCTATAGCTTTTTGACCTTACGCTTATGTCGCAGTGTAAATCGGCCCTTAGACAGGTTGTACCTTCAGACTAAGCGATGGCCATTGTGAAAGTCAATGGACGTAATGAATGATCATGTCTTAATCGAAGCCTATGGGCCCAATGAAAACTGATGGCCCTAATGGAGGTCTGTGGCCTTAGTCAAGACTAATGGCCCTAATCAAGAATAGGGGGCCAAATGGAGGTGGATGGCCCAAATCAAGGATGGTAGTACAAGTCAAGGCCGATGGTGGACCTATGTAAAGGCCAATGGTCTTAGTTGAGGCCGATGCCCTAATGGAGGCCTACGGTCCTAATCAGGACTAACGGCCTTAATCAAGACTGATGGCCCAAATGAAGGTGGATGGCCCAAATCAAGGCTGGTGGTACAATTCAAGGCCGATGGACCTATGTAAAGACCATGTAGAGGCCTATGTCCTTAATCGAGGCCGATGGACCTAATATGTAAAGACCATGTAAAGGCCTATGTCCTTAATCGAGGTCGATGCCCTAATGAAGGCCTAGGGTCCTAATCAAGGCTAATGGACCAAATCTAGACTGATTCCCCTAATGAAGGCCTAATAACCCTTATATGGGTGGGTCAAGGTGGATCGCCCTAATCGAGGCCGATGTTCGTAGTCGAGGCCGATGRACCTAATGGTGAAATAATTTTATTTSCTCCATCCATTGCTGTATGCCTGTGTTAAAACCTATAGCGTCCAACAGCCAACTAGTTGAAATWTTAAAATCACATTGTACACAGGCATATTTATGTTCAAATTTAAGCTCAGTTTCAAAATAAATTATCTGCACAGACTTTATCATTCGGGATTCGCCGGGAATCGATGAAATGAGCAACAACCTCATTACAGGTTTGCCTTTTATTAGAATAATCAACCAAGAAATTCCAAAAGGAGGGGAATAAGCTAAATTTTCCTTTGTATCTATTGTTGAGAAAAAAACCTGCCGCAGAAACAAAAACTCTTTTGCCGAAAACGCAGCTTTTTGTTTGCTAAGTCTTTGTGATGTGGAACATTGTATTGACAAAATGAATTAAGGCCAAATAAAAGCAGCCGAATTACCATACAGATATTRATTACAACGAACATAGAGATTGATAAACGCTCACAGGACTGCAGGCCTCAAACTTGGATTATATTTATTGTTAAAATGTTATTGGCTATGCAACATCGCTTCTGGGCTTCTTAAAATGTTATCTTTCGGTTTTGGACGAATCGCGTCAAAGTCCATTGTCTACATTTTAAAGCGCCAGGCGGACGTCTCAAGAAACTAACCAGAAGGTCGCATAAAAGCGACTTCACAATAATGATTAATTTTCTCTAATTCCCAGTTTGTGATTGGTTCACAGCTCATTCCAAAAAAGCCATCAAAATGTGTTGATTGGCATAGTCTTACGAAAGCTAATTGCTGATTGGGTGAATTTAATGAGCGGCTATATGGAGTCATAAATTAGGTCTCATGTTTGATAAGTCCGGTGAACGTGATTGGGTAGTTCAACAATGGCACCTAATTGCACAACAAAACGCGTGGCTAATATGTCCGATTCTGATTCTAATTACTTCATACAATAATGGAAGGTATTGAAAAACGGAATTCTTAGTGAAACCGACTTGGACCTTTCTCGGAGCGCGTGAACAGTCAAAATTACTTCTCTGGAGCGAAAGAAAAGATACCCATTCAATTCCAAAGACAGTTGGCGCGAAATTGAAGTGAATCGACAACATCAGAGAATAAGATTTTGACGGTAAGAAAGATTTGTCTGTCTAAAGGTCGAGTGTGAAGAAGCCCCGAGGAACAATTCGAAGGAGAGCGATATCTACTCCTTCAAGCTCTTCTCTAGCGGCTTGTGTCGGTTCTTGATTCAAATTTACTTCAAGTCTAGCGATGTCGTGTTCAAATCAATCGAAATCTGCTTTTAGTCTGGCCGTTTGGTTCTCCCGGGAAATTTGACTGGATCTCTTTGCACCTAATACAATAGCTCTAATGTCTTTGGCGAATCGCTGCCTAATTCCGCTTTTACATGAAAGAAAGGAACTTTTATCAGCACTAGAATGGCTTCATATGTTCAATCACGAAGAAATTCATAGCTTGTTGTTTGAACCGATCGCCAAATCCAAACCCGTGACGAATATTTCAGTAATCGAATCAACTTCGGCTTTGAACTTTCGTTCGTTTTCCTCCAAATGGAATCCTTCATCAAGTGGTTTGATTGTGGCGTTGTTCTTAGATTTCAATATCAATACATCGCTTGTTTTTTTTTGTCTGGTCTTACACCGTAGTAGCCCTGATACCAGAGTCAAAGATGTACGAAATTTGGCAGCGATACACCAAAGATTTACATAGATACAGTTTTAATATTATAGGGTGGGGAGACGAGGACAGCTCGGATATTAATTAAGTCTGAATAAATTACATAAATTACAAATAGATTTTTTGTTTACAGGGATTTGTTTAGCTTTAGAATTAGTCTAAATATTAAATTTCTTTCATTGYGAGGCTTTGATTCGTTTGATATGTTACCACATGCAGGTTCCTGCCTTCCGGGAGCAAGTTTTACCTTTTCAGTTATTAACTATGCTAGATTAAAACTCTTATATGTAATATTGGGAAAAGGATGGAGAATAATTACWTGTTAGGTTTTGAAGAACATCATCTAAACATTATGAGTAGTACTATAGTGTATAACCATTAATATTTACAAAGGCTTTTTATAGAAATGGTAAAAATTGATTTTTGAAATGATTTTGAAAGGTAAATTGTTGGCACTGACATCAATAACCCTCTTAATTTTCCACCAAATATTATAGTTTCTTGTGCTTATTAAGTTTCTTATTTCTTAGAAATGTACATGTATTTCCTGCAAGCTTATTAAAGTGGTTTTCATAAACCCATGAAACAACATGTAGAATAAAGAGTTATAAAGGGTAGTAAGCTAAAGTGTATCTAATGGGTTAAGTAAAAACCACTCTTTCTGTACAAATTCTAGAATCAAACTTTATAGTGACAAAAATACTCAATATGAGAGCTACTTTATTATGTATGGCTATTTTAATTATAAATACCTTTGTGGAAAAAAATATTTTAGGTAATATGCATTATGGCTACTAAGTTTTATTAAAATAACATATCAGTTTTGTGAGCAAAAGTTGATTAACATACATGCATATATTCTATAAATTATTGCTTGCATGTACAGGCCCTGTAGGCTGCCTTACAAATGGGGGAGGGGGGGGTTGTTTTGTCATAATGCGGACCCAAATCTGAACCTAAATTAAGTAATGGTCCGAGTAAGAAGCAGGCACTGAAGCAAACGGCAATGGAATGCATGAAGGTGCTAATTGCGTATTGTATAATCCATCCATCTCATTGGTTAAAATATTAAAATCTGACATATTTTCAAAAGTAATCACATTTTTTAACATTTTATTTAATATCTGATTCTAACTTCATAAAAGCTTTCCTTAGCTTTAATATTAATAGCAATTCTATGTGGGGAACATAGCAAATTAGAAGCATCTTTTGGGTATTGTATTGAGTGCTTATGATTGGACAAGATCTTTTAATACAAAAGAAACTTTGTTTCAAAGCAGAGTTTATCCACATTTTATTTTAAAAATGTTTTACCCATAGGTTGATATATAATCAGTGTGAAAACCAAGACATTCGTWTGTGGGAAGGTGCAATTGCCGCAGAACAATAGAAGGTTGCCTGCTTTTTGCGYGCATTGTTACTTAAATGTTTAACTAAATTAGTTAAAGTATAGTGTGTAAGAACTCGGAAAGTTAGAAGTGTGATACACRTAGTTTACAGAACGATCATAAATTCCTGTAAAAATCGTACACGTTAATTTAATTTTTTTCAATCCATTAACTTACACAAACATAGCTAATTTGGCCTCTAAATAGCACTTTTAGAATGTCACGTGATTAGTGCAAACCAAGAATTATGTTGGTACTGTTTATAAACTGTACTAACAATTTTTGCTGGAAATGACCTTTTTATGCAAATGATTATGTAAGTGAAGACTACAAAACTCTTTTGAAATGTGATCACAGTTACAAGCAGTTGCAATATTTATGTTACAATTAGCCAACACTATGTATCACAGAGACATTCTGACAACATATATAACAAATGGTTCCCTTCATATTGATCAGAGGCCAAGTGTTTTTGTATTGAAAGATTATAGATTTGGGTTTATTTTACACATTCATGTATATTGTGTATACAGCCTTTTGCAAAAATTATGAGAATTGTCTAAATATCTAAATATCATAATATCCATATCCATATATTGTCCGGAACACGTGGGTTTGCTAGAATAATTCATTGTTGACATCAAGAAAATGTTCAGAACTACGGATAAGTCTGTCGCCAAAAAAAAATAAACTACAAAGACAAGGGACCAAGGGCATCACGCGGGATTACCCATCATGCACTCGATATTATGATATTTAGATATTTCGACAATTCTCATAATTTTTGCAAAAGGCTGTATGTAATGTAAATAAATCATGTATTACAAAATGTATCCAGGAATTAAAATGTCAACTTTTTATCATCTAGGTGAAATCTGATGTAGGTTGAAATAACAGGMAGAATCATGAGTTCCAACAATTCAGAAGCTACATCACCCCCACCAGTGCCCTCTACAACAAAGAAACAACCGAATAGTGAATCTATGAATAATGATAGTTCAGATGGACGTGACTTATTGCACTCTCTCAAAGGACAAGTTTCATTTGCTAAACAGTGCCTTGGGCTTTTACAAAACCAAATGAAGCATGCTATGGACACTCTTGAAATCCTCCAGGATCAGGTCATCAAAGCACAATTAACTATAGAAAAATTAGAGAGAAAAGGCAGTAAGCAAAGTGACCAGAAAGTCCAACCAGGTGTAAGCAGTTGTGACCACCATTCCTCAACAGATGATATATCACCTGGTGCTGTCCCACTTCATGGCTATCGTATGTTTGTAGTTGATAGTACAGGACAGCCTCTCTATGCTATTGACAAGTCAGCTGCAACTTCATATGGGGTTCCTGTGCAACATCAAGGGGGATCATGTCATTGCCCATCATGTAACAATATTGGATTAGGCCACCCTGTATTTATAACAGAACAAAATCAACAGCTAATTGCTCTTCACCCAGGTCAAGCTGTGTATCACATTGATGGAAAACCAGTTGTGTCACCAAGTTCCTCAATTCATGACACAAACAAAAAAAGTGATCATCAAACTTCATCTACATCTGATCACACTTCTACAAAGAAACGAAAGCATTCTATATCAGACAGTGAAGATAGTCCAAAGCAAGCTGCAAGTGAATCAAGTGTGAGCCAAAACGAGGGAAAGTCATCTCCAATAACCTCACAACTTTTACAAGTACTTGATGTCTTACAAAATGCTGGTGATGATGAGAGCAAAGAATCCGTTTTACCTTGTAGGTCAAGCAGAGGGGCTACAATACCTTTTACAGGTATGTGTATACTTKTACATGTGGCATACTATTATTTCACAGTAATAAATAAGGGTTAATTAAGCAGAACCAGTTGTTATCAACTAAATTGTGATGGTCATACATGTAGTAATAGGTTTAAGTTATGTCTTTTTTGAAAATATAGTGCAAGCTCTTGCATTGTGACYTTGGAATTTTGAAGTTTGTTAGAATTTTTGGTTTTGCTGCAGCTTGCAGAGAAAGTTTGGTTTCAACACAAATGTCATCTGCCGAAGAGATTTGTATTCATAAATATCTGAATGGAAGTGTTTCTAAAGTGTTTTTATACTTAGTTGCATAAAATCTGGCARGCAAGTTTCAAAACTTTAGACATTGCCATTCAAAGGTTTTTCCTGTAAACACTGACAGAAGGTTTTGACATGCTGGCAATTTTAAAAGGTATTTGATATTCAGTGGGGAATTAGCACTGCAGTAATGAGGTCACTCTTATTTATACATGCCTTGCATCATGGCGGGAACATCCAAAAAACTTTAACAAACAAAATTAAAAGAAGCTGAAATAGAATAAAATAACATCAATACTAGTCAATAGTAATAACACAGTAACATGATTGCTTGTTTCTGATTGGCTGAATTTAATTAATCCTTGCAATAAAATAATACTGAATGTGCTAATAATCAATTAATCTAATAATATCACAAAGTGTGCTGTGCGGCTCACTGTTTCTTTAGATTTGTTGTTACATGGATTGGGAAATTCCTTCTTGATTCTTGAAGAATTAATTAAAAATTGTCATTTGTATTTGAAAAAAATGATATACTGTAACACTATCATGCTATGCATAAGGTTATGCACGCCCTGAGTCACTTGACTGTTTTTTTTATATTAATACATGTATACCAGTGTATCTGTGTGTCGTGTAGAATCTTGGAAASAACAGATAACCCAAACAGCCTGCAGTTTATAAATTAAGTCTTATTAATTTTTTTGTCAGCTTTAAATGTTTTCTCACAGTTGTACTGTATGTGACATCTAAATCACATAACCATAATAAAATTGTTGCAATATTTTTCTATCATATCCAGACAATTAAACTTAAGGTGACATCAATGACCTGGCCTGTCAATCACAATTAATATGTGGTGGAATTTCCTATAAACTCAAAAGAATGCTTCAGTTGGCCTAAGTGAACAAGTAAATAAACAATTTTATTTATGATGATAAAAACGTAAAAATGAAAATTCCTTGATACTGTATTAAGAAGCTCAGGARCTTTGTAAGTCAGCAACCAGTTCTGAAGACTTTTATATCAAAAATCATGAAAAAACTAAGACTTATCATAATCATTATTTTAATATAGATTACAAAACAAAATAGTTTAAGTATTGAATTTGGTTCTTTGACGATCTAAGGGCCGAGAAGATCATTGCACTACTTTGGCTTATTTAATCTACCTCATTTTAGTCTTGGTAGAACAAACTTATGGCCTTATAAATAATTGCTCAAGTACTGGGTTGACCTCATTCAGAAMTGCATTCATGGGGCAGTTGCTCCAGTGTTTTCTGTAGATATTTTTAAGCACAATATATAGTTATGCAATACCGTTCATTAAAAGCAACTTGTACCCATGGGCCACACACCTATAGATATCAATTGCATTGTATGTTAATAGCTATTAAATTATACATGCATAGAACTGCAATGACCTCATTGTATCCGCAGTAATGGTTTAGGTTTGCATTTTTTGAGCTGTAGAAACAATGATATCAACTGATAGYATGAGCAGTTACCCATGACTGTACAATGTTTCTCAAAGCCTAAATGCCTAGAATGTTTTTCTGTGACAGAGTTTCGATATTAGGAATTTCTACCCCATTCAGAGTTACCGACATGTGCTTCTGCCACTATAGCTATTGATGGCAAAGATGGAAACAAGAAGAGAAACATAAGCATTGTCTCTGATACTGAACTAGCCAAGCGAAATGCAGTKCCCAACCCATCACAAGAAGAAACACCAGAAAAAGTGAAATCTAGTGACAATGAAGTAAAGAAAAGTACAACTAGGGTACCTGGTGGAACAAAAATGAGCACAGCATGGAGTATTCGTACTTGGTGTGAATGGGCTGAAGAGCGTAAAAATACCACTCTTACTGATAATTCGGATTTGTTTAAAGTAGTAAATCCAGATGTAACAAATTTAAGTGATGGTGAACTAAATTATTGGCTTAGTAAATTTGTAGTAGAGGTAAGAAAAAAGAATCCTCTGGGTGAACCTTACCCACCGAATTCACTCTATCAGTTATGCTATGGAATCATGAGGCATTTGAAAGGAAATGGTCGACCAGATGTTAACTTTTTTGAAAGCTCTTCTTTCAAGCTTTTTCAGGACACCTTAGAGGCTGAAACTAAACGTTTGCTTTCTTTGGGGGTTGGTGCCAATGCAAAGATATCCGAAACCTTTTCAAATGAGCATGAGGAGAAGCTTTGGGACTTGAAACTGTTAGGTTCCCACACTCCTGATGTTTTGTTGGACACATTGCTATTTTTGATTGGTAAGAACTTTGGCTTGAGAAGTGGGAATGAACACCGTAACCTTCAGTTCAAGCAGTTTACACTTGTTACTGCCAGAAACAATGACCCAGAGAAATTAGTATACAATTCACCTATGGATAACAGCCATCATCTTAAGATTCAGAGAAGTAAAAGAAATGAGTGCTATTCAAACACAGAGAGGCCAGAAAGGTGTCTAGTTAGCTTATACAAGAAGTACCTGGAGAGATGTCCAAAATCTGCTYTGAAGAAAAAACTGTTTTATCTAATGCCAAAGAGGAAGTGGTATGAAGAAGATAAAGGTATATCAACATGAACTGTATTTTTAATATATATTGATGCATAAACTCCACCATATATCAATTTCTGATTAATTATTAATATTGCTATTAGTTGATAGATAACATTGTTTGTGACTAAAAATAAATTTTCYATGATTTGGTGTTATCAGACCCAACAACATATTGTAATGAGTATTAGGCCTTGTGGAGGGACTTTCTTCCTTTTCCCCAGAGAGCCTGATACAAGTATTCAAAAATATTGGTTCTCATCAACATTGTTCATGTTGTATTCTATTTTTTCAAAATAACTATATTATTCCTTTCCTAAATTAAATAAGGCATTTGAATGGATAGCAAAACTATCAGTTGATTTGGCTGTTGATAATGAAATGAAATTACTGAAAACCTGGGAGGCAATTATCTACACATCATACTCAATYGTTTATTGTAAAATAACAATTATTATTAAGTGTTATCACTGTTTCACATTGCTTGCAGTCTGTGGCTTAAGGGGCAATGACAATGTACCCCATGTGCTCTAGTAATTTGATTTTATTATCAGCATGTGTTGCTAATGATAGTTTTGTCCTTTTTTTTTTTTTGCTAGAGTGGTATAGTGATCATCCTGTTGGCCATAATCCTTTGGGCCAGACTGTTCGTAGGCTGTGTCAAAAAGCTGGTTTTGAGGGATATTTTACAAACAACAGCTTACGGCCATCTACGCTTGGGCTTGGAAGTGGAAGTTTCAATAAGAATGTCATTACAGAAAGRAAGTAATCAAAGATTTATCGGAATTAAGTTGTAAATAAAACAATAAGTTTAGTAGTAATGTTGAAACATTATAGATAACTTTTCGATTACTAACACAATCTCCAAGAAATGGCAATACAAAACACAGGCATCTAGTATAGTTGCCATTTTTATCTAGATCAGAAAAGCTTAATTTTCTTATTGTCAAAAAAATTATGTCTATGAAAAATTGCCAGGAAAATAAGAATAATAATAATAAAGAAGATCGGAAGTTAGAGGCAATAGTTATGTTGAAATTCTCCTGATTCCTAACTTTTTTCTCCCTGTGCTCCATGAAGAAAATCTTGTATTTACCTGTACAGACATCAAGTAAAATGCCTCTTCCAGTATTTATTTTCGAAATATATACTGCTTACATGTCATGTAGTAGATAAATATATTTTGATTGTACTTAAGCTCATATGTAGTCCCATTACAGTAATAAACAAAACAAACCCAAAATATTTCTACTCAAATCTCTATTATTCTTGAGTTGTGAATGAAAACATAATATTCTAAAATATACAGGATGCTTTATCTATCTTTTGTTTTGGGTTGGGTGGCTTAATTTTGAACAAGTGTCGAGTTTTAARTATGTTTGATGCAGGCATGCTATGATTCAGCATGTCCATTAAGGTGGTCTACTATTCTAATTTGTTTTGTGTTGTGACCACTTTGTTTTCTGTTAGAGTGCACATAATATTCCTTTAATTGCTTATGAAAGAGTTAATCTACTAATTTCATTAATTTTTGATGCCTTATCAATGCTAATGGTATTTAATAATAATATTTAAGTTAACTACTTAGACCAATTGGGTATACTTTTGGCACTCCCCATTGTGGAATAAATGTCTGCAATTTTTAATATACTCTAGACTGTTAAAACAATGGAATTGTAGTAGGCGTTCTTTCATCAAGGATGGGTCCAGGGTTTTATTGTCGTAGGGGAAAAAAATTGGTATGCATAACTTAAAGTGCTTATGACGGAATTTTTTTTACTTTTTTGGATGATTTTTGAGATGTAARACATATCAAAAATGTATTAAAACTTTACAGATTCTGAAATTTTAACGGAAAAATTTGACGTTTTTTGTCCGAACCGCGAATTTTGGCCGAGTGATCGAGCGATCCTGGTAACCACAATCCGATGACGTAGGAAAAGTAACCCGCGAAACACTCGACACAAGTGAATGTATGYGACTTTTCCAGATCGGTTCAAAATAGCAACTTTATAGCTCAAAATCGAAGTTTTTTTCATCCCATCATGGCTGATTCCTGTAGTGAAACAGATTCACTATCAATTTCCGATGACGACTCGGAGTTCAACTATATTCCAGGAAGGTTTTTTCCCATAGAAAGTGAACCCGGTGGTAGTGACAATGAGCCGACTGACGACCACATTCTTGGTATTGAACCATACTCTGCTGAGCCTTTAGCGGATGAAAAATGGCTAGAGGATTWCAATAAAAGACAAGAAGAAAAGAAACAAAGGCTACAACATTTACAGGATCGATTAACTGGTAAAGATCCACTCAATAATTGGTATGTAGTATTATTGCCTTTGTTTTGATAATCTGGCCAATTTAGCGCGTTGCTGTAGAAAACTTTCCAAAGAATTGCGCTCAGGGGACACTACTTTAGAATGTTTCAGTTGTTGTATAATTTATCAGAGATAATGTTAACATTTTCGATTCATTATAGGTGTAGTTGTGGTCATTGCCGACTCGAATTTTTACAAAATGCATACGAGTGCTGTTGTTGCCGCGAATTCGAAGAGTCCATTCAAGCGTTAAACGACGAGTGGGTCCTTCAAGAGTTAAAAACTGCTCCAAGCTGTATAACCCTCCATCCAGCCTACAACATTACCTGCTTAGAAAGATGGTCACTGAGACTTTCTGCCGGAAAGTATCGAACTATCGATAGAAGAGCGTACCGCCAGACAGGATCGGAGGAAGCGTAAGTTATTATATACTTTRATACATGCTCGTACGAGACATGATTTTGACGAAAATGAAATCATCTTATAATTTTTTCCCGTCTTTTCAGGTTTCTAAGAAGTGTAGCTTACAGAGAATACACCCATTTAGTATACGACAAWTTAGGRAAAAATCGCATACCTCTTCCYGCTTGCGCATATAACTCAATAAGGAACAAGTTCCAACCAAAACGCCAGAATGAAAGTTTTACTGGATTTCAAGAGGACGACAGTGATAAAGAATAGTATATCAGTTCACAGAGACATGTAAATAATTTTTTAGTTAACTATTGTATATTATATTTACAAAGAAKATATTGTATGTAACACGAACAAACTCCTTTATGTTAAATTCACAAGCTATATTATATTTAATCGATTTTATCGGTACATTATCTATTTTTATTTCTCCTTATTTCAAGGCATTCTGCCAACAMAAATTTATGGCCCTTCATGGGTTTTTCGCAATGCCTACACTTGGGTTGCCTTCTCTGAGATGAATCTACAGCAGATTGGCCAACTGTCACTGGGACTACTTCTACTTGTGATTCTAAACAAAAACAAAAAACAAAACAAAATTGTTCTATTAATGGAGAGTGATCACATTCATATTAKTGTAATGTCTTTTGGTTTTCATCTAAATATGTTATAATAAATAGTATTCCATGGGTCAATGTCATCAATATGCCAGGATCTAATTCAATCATGTTACTAATTGAATCATAAAAAAGTAGTTGCTGTCAATCACCTGTAAATGTGGAAGGGATTTCTTGAACAACCATAGATTGCCTGCGCTTCCATAGGYCCAGAGCGTCATCTCTAGATTGCTTGTTGAGCATGGTATTCATTGGCTCGGGAGTCATATCATMTAGTTCTTCAATGGCATCTCTTAGTAAATTGTTTGTCATGGTATACAAACACATGTCATAAATGCTCTCTATGTAATCTATACATAAAGAACAAGCATCAGAAGAAACGTTATGAAATGGGGTTACAATGCTCACTGAAAACATCTTGTAAGGCTACAATAATATACATAACGTAAAAAGGTTTTATGTGGAAAAACTAGTAGCACTGTTGTGTTTCCCAAAAAATGCTAAAGCAGTCATGCCCTTTTTATCATACTACATGTGGTTTCTGAAGATKATTATTTACTCACCATAATTAGGCTTAACTCGTACTTTCTTCACTGTAGCTTTTCCATTTTTGAACTTGGGRTAGATAATGTTGACTTGTTCACTCCCATCACGATGCAATTTGACTGCACGGTATAGATTGTAATTGAAATGCACAGCTGCTATTATGTGCCTGTACAAATAAATAYAAATTAGGAGGATGCACACTTCATGCATAAAGTCTATGAGGGTAAAGAGTATAGGCTTGATGAAAAAATTAGCACAAGTAATTATGTTAGAGCAGCATCTGCAACAAGACACCATTTACCTGCAGTACATTCCTTGATAACTGTAGCCTGTCATTTTAGGTGAGTAATGGTTTATTACCGAATGGAACCCCTCAATGCAGCTTGTCTGAGCCATTGGAGATGCCTGTTTGATGCCATTCAGCAGAGCTTTTTTCTTTAGGATGGCACACACTTTGTCATAAACTTTAGTATCTGAGACAAACAGACATAACAAAGATGTTTACTTTCTATTTAGAAAAAGTCCAAGAAACCCATAAAAGAAACAAAAAGGAAATTAAAAACTTAATAATCATGATTTTTTCTGGACAAACATTCTCTATAATTCAACCAAAATCTAATTATTGAGACAAAGATTATCACACATTTGTTGTGATTCCACCCTATTATTATTTTACCTTCTTCCAGCCATTGTCTGTCGGGGATGTTTTCTTCATGGCTACACTTGTTAAACAATACATTCTCTAAGTCTCGGTGTTTATTTATGATGTGCGACAGGAATGATTCGAACTTAGCCCAAATAAGTTCGCCATCACCTGAGGGTGTAGATGTGGCTGACCACATTAGGTGGTTTTCGCAGGGCTCTATCCAATCCGAGATGATGTCACAGTCTTTCTCTTTTGAAAGCTTTGTGAGGACCTTGTGTACTTCTAAAAAGAGAGTTTATTGTATAACTATAGGGAAAGGCCTGCTTGTTTGTTGAGATAGTGTAGATATAAAAATACATTCAGTCTCATTGATGATATTCAAGAAAAAAAGAAATTAACAAATTAAACTTACTCTTTTTGAGATGCCACAGGTCGAAGTAATGGTTCTTATTTGCCATGTTCTCCCTCATATACTTTGCAATTCCAGTATGCCGATCCGTTATTAGAGTGTCGAACAGCAGATCCCATCTCACAAGGTCATCCATACAATGTGTAAATGCTAGTTTCTCCATGGCAGGACTGCTATCGGCAACATTTCTCTAAAAAGAACAACAAAATTATTCATAATATAGAAGAAAAATAGAAATGACATGGCAATTTGATATTACACTACAATGACACATTGCAGTATATTACAGTTCTTTGTGATTGCAAGATTTCATGAAATTATTTCTGTCTGTACCTGAACAAGGGAAAAGTGAAGGATGAGTGGTTCATTGCAGCAAAACATAGTGTAAGCACAGTATTTAGCACTATGTCCCATGCTATCATGGCGCCCGTCTCCAGCAATAGCCAAGTTTTTTCCTGATGTTTTCAGCTTTTCAATCATTTCATCTTGATAATTCTTCCAGAACAAATGAATGCTTGGGAAAMGTTTATCCTAAAGGAAAAACATACACTTTAGAAAAAGGTACAAATACTATTCTACAAGAGATCTCTATTCTTGGCATGAGTGCATGAAAATGCTTTGTCACAAGTAACACAGTTTTGCCAATAGAAACATACATGACACAGGTCATACGTACATGTATGTAGTTCAGTATTGGAACTCAAGCAGTCATCAATAATGAACTTTTGMAAAATTAAAGAAGAGTCGCAAGGGTGTTACTAGGCCTTTGCCACCAGATATTTTTTGAATATTGTTTATGGCAATCTTACTGTTTGATGTCTGAAATATGTCCTTAGGCTAATGCAACAGAGTCCCATGTGACGAAAGAYCTGGAAAACTTTGGAAGGTGAGGCACCAGACACTARTGTGGAGAAACATAGCAGAAAATTTCCTGCTGGCATYTTGGTTCCAGTCATGGTTGGTTGACTTTTCCATATGTAGCATGGATTTTTACAGTGTGGATTAATGCMCTGTAAAACTATTTGTACCATCGTTCCAAGAACACTTGTCTTTACGATAGCATTATCATGTTTACAAGAAGGACAGGAATGGAAAAGAAGAAGTAGTTGGCTTATAAAGACCACGAACTTTGGCTGTGTCCTCAAATTATCATCGTCATAACTGAAATGCATAATACAAAAAAYAGTTTATCACAATAAARTGATTTATGTATAATACTACAATTGCCAGTCACAACACACAAAAAAAATTATGATGCATAATCTTAATGTGGAATCTTGGTGATTCCAAGTTCTTAGAAATTTAGAAGTATATACTAAAAAGTTTCTTTTCAGCATGAAGGTTAGAGCCACTGTGTGGATATGCTTCAATAAACCATTGTTATTAATATTATTATTACTATCAGCATCATTATTATAGGTATTTGTATCACTAACCTAATATCAGTGGGTTGTTCATCACTAGAATCACTCTCGCTCTCTGCCTCACTTTCAGTATCTGGCTCATAATCACCATCTTTTGTTTTGGTGCAAGGTTCCTCTTCTATAATGTTAAAGTCCTCCTCATCGTCCGAAGTGGTGAATTCTTGTGTTTGGAGCTCAGTGACCAATTTCTCTTTTTGGGCTTGGAGATCAGCTGATACTGAATCAATGGTTTCTAAACAAAAACGTATAGCCTCAACTATAGCAGCATAGAATAGAACATCGCTTTATAGAGGTGCACTACCTTTTTGYTGTGTAATTATCTTGTCTTTGTCTTGTATCTTGTTTTTCAGATCAATAACCTTGTTTTTTAGCTGWCGAATTTGGCTAGACAAGTGTTTRCAATTGAGACATCCCTCTGATGTTTGGCAGGATTTATCAACTTTGGTCTAGTAAAAAAAATGAAATTAGTTAATTCTATCAAAACATCAATAACGGCACTTTAAACGAGACTACTACTTACGATGTCTTCTTCAATATCAAACATCTGAGCATCAGAGGATTCTCCGGCCAAAGGCAAATGATCATCTTCGCATTCGTCGCCATTGTGGTCATCGTCGCCATGTTTTGGTAGTATATTTTCCCTGATATCTCGTAGATCCTTTGATAAAAAAAGTGATTTAATGTTTTGAATACCATTTATATTCCAAGAAATTGGAATCAAGTCTTATTCTTACGTTGCGACGCTTTATTCTTTTCGCTACTGGTGTTTCTGGTGGTTCTCAACACTGGAACAACTCTTCCGAATGCTCGGTACTGCGTCTATCTTCAAAGTAGATCGCGTTGGAAATGACGCTCCAGGTATATTTATGAACGGATATTCAATTCCGGTTTAAAATGTATATTCCAGCATTCCGGTTTAAAATGCTCAGAACAAAGTCTTAAGCTTTTTGAAGGGTTCCATTCTTTTCCTTTCTTGTCGCCTTCGCGCGTCGTCCTGACGAACTGGACCCACGCTCTCCATCTWGATTTTTCGYTGTCTTTRTCTGGGAATTTATGAACACCAATGTTCCGACTTGGGTCAGGATAGTTTGAACACCCACCAGCTACACATCTGTTGGGCATTTTAGCACCAAAACATCAAAAACGTCGCAAAACGTTTGTAAATCATCCACTCTATTCATATAGTAAACACGCTTTCACACCGATCTGAGTTACTTTTCATACGTCATTGAACCAGTCCCTAACAAAAGGCCGTTTGCTCGGTCGAAAAGCACAGGAAGCCCAAATACCGTTTTTTCGCAACTTTAATCGCTTTAAAATGATGCAAAGAGTTAGAATTTTTTTGAAAAACACGAAAAAAGTCGATTATCAGGAGTTCTAATTTTCGTTCAAAAAGTAAAAAAAATTCCGTCAAAAGCACTTTAAGCTGATAATCTTTTAGCTTGCCGACACCAGAAAAAATACTCTCGTAGTTGTTTACAATTCGGACCACATTTAGAAGATCTGTCGTCACTTGTCGTACCATCGGTGTTTCTGGGCCGATTCGTAGTAGACCCAGCTCTATCGCAGTTTTCTTTCCAAGTAGAGATCCAGCCATAAAAGTATCCACTACAACAAATTCGGCTTGTACATTGCAATGAGCTGAGTCGATTGCTGACACACTGGCACAAAATGTTCCTTTGACCGGAAGCGGCGTTTTGGAATCATAGGGAAATATCTTGACACTCGTATTTCGCAACACAAGGTCTCTAGTGTTTAGCATATTAAACGTTTTCCCATCCAAGACATTTACGCTCGCTCCAGAATCAATGATAAGCGGAATCTCAGTGCAGTTCACCATAATCGGCACAGTGGTATTCTGCGACCCAACCACAAAAAAATATTCATCATCGGATTCATGTTCCATTGTCACACAATGAACGTCATTGGCCGTTTTCGCTTGTGGTCCACTTTTGCAAACCGAGGCAAAATGTCCTAATTTCGAACAGATATTGCATTTTTTCCCGTTCCGACTCAGTAGCACCTTGACAAGCTTGTCGAAATTTATGTCGTTCGAAGGAAATGTTCTTGCGGGGCTCGAAGTATTGCGTTAGCCGCGCTAACGCAGTTTTGTAATCGTCGCCAGTCTCGCTGAGCGTCTCAAACACATCCTGCACCTCTGTTCCAGCTAAATGTAATAGCATGGCACGCATCTGTGCCTTGTCCGTAATTTTGGACGCAGTCATGTAATATTCGAGAGATCTCACCCATTTAGCCCAACGTGGTACGGTCAATAGAAACAGAGAATGGCACTACAGCGGGGAGCTGTAGTCCAGCCATTAGGAATTAATCCTCGTCGCCAATATAACGTCTTGTATAACGTAGCAATAACAGTAATGCACACACAGTATGTAAATCACCAGAATAACTTTATTACCACGATCATATCTATGTATACACTCATTACTATATCATATTACATTATGCCAGTCACGTTCCATGTTGCCATGGTTATAATACAATGGATACTACACCTAGCTATGCGACATAGTGTTCTCAAAGGCTATGCAATATACCTTGATCAATTTCAACTGCGTTTAACATACAGTGAACTAGCTATAACGCGGAAATTTATGAATAAAGATATCGCTGTTGCTGATTGCTTTTGGTTGTCAGTTTGTGAGTTGTTTTCCTTGGGTGCTGCTGTTGATGTTGCTAATGCTGTTAAATTAATTTACTTGTGCTCTTGTTGAAAACAGGAAAAAAAAGAAAGGAAAAAAAAAACAATAAAAACACAGCGCTAACCTGAATGATTTGATGGAATACGCTGTATAGTTCCTGTTGCTTTCAGTTTAATTAAATGTTAGTGAAAATGTTTGTTGACAAATCAAGGGCGCTAGAACTGAAATGACCTATAAGATCCAAAAATTACTTAATTTATCCAACATACTAGTAAGATAGTCGATAATAAATTGTAAAGTTTTACTTATCTGAAATATACACTGAAATGTCCTCTTAGACACTAAAAAGCACTTGATTTTACGAAATTCATCCAAATGATCGTTACTCAAGCGGTTGTAGCTGAATTTATTACCGCTGTCCTTGTTGTACCAGCCACTGCTGTCTCGCCAGGAACGTTATTCATTAACCGGAATAAAATCACTTTGCCCTGGCCGAACACCAAAAGAGACAGGGGCAGGCAATAACTAGCGGCCCCTTTGACCACTCGTCTGACTCACTAATCGGATTAAGTTGACAGGACCTAGGGACACTGATGACAGATTAGTCCTGGCCGAGCGAGTCTTCGTAGGCCGAATGTGACCTCGTCAGAGTCGGGATTTGAACTAAAACGCTCTCGTCTTGAGGATGGTCAAAACTATCGCCATTTAAATGGACAAAGTGCCTGGCCGAAATCTAAGTTCAAGTCCATTTGGAAGAAACCGAAATGAAAGCTAAATGTTAGTCGTAAAGCACCGTTCACAAGCAAGTTTATGCGACTGATCTGACACTTTGAATATAATGCTGCTTAACAAGCTTTAAAATCTAAAAATAAATGAGTCCTCTGCGTTTACTAGTGATATTTTTAATACCGAGCTTTCGGCATAAGCGGCCATTATCAAGGTAGAGTACACGTAAGATTTTAAAGAACGCAAAAAACGGAAAGCGCGCAAGGAAACATAGCAATACAGCTCGAGCTAATTACAATAGATAAAATGTAAAATGAAATGGAATGGAATGAAATGAAATGGAGTGAAAAGAAAAGAAATGACAGACTATGACAGTGAAGCAATTAGATATATGTAACAAAAAGCTTAAATGAACTTAAATAATGGTTTGTATGTTTCTGGTATTGTTCTGCCAGTGTCTCTGTTTGATAGCACTGAGTTGGTATTGGCTATCAGTAGGTTTTCCAGCCACCTCCTTTGATGCCATCTAGGTTCTGTTCTTAGTACTTCAGTTTTTTGCGTTCTTTAAAATCTTACGTGTACTCTACCTTGATAATGGCCGCTCAGGCCGAAAGCTCGGTATTAAAAATATCACTAGTAAACGCAGAGGACTCATTTATTTTTAGAAACTATGCCTGCGTACAAAGAAAGTCTAAGCTTTAAAATGTACTGTTCCTATTTCTCAATTCAACGTTTTTAAACACGAATTCAACACACTCACATTTTAGTTTCATATGTAACAAAAATTATTGACGAGCGCTTCGCTCAACTTTTAGATGACTTTCGATTCGAAAMCCGACGAGTTATAAAACATCGCGACGGTAGCGTATTTACTATTTCGGGCCTACGAAGACTTCCTCGGCCAGGACTAATCTTTCAAAGAACTGAGAGACAGTGAGTTGTATTGCGACTCCAATCCAGTCCATGTCAATTGTCTTACGTTTTGTTACATGGGAGTGATACGAGAGGAATTGCAACGTGTAGCAAGACTTTGGAACAACCACTCAATAAGACCATCAAGCAACAGTGAATCACCATCAGGCCGTCCAGATTTACTATTTCTACTTCCCAAAACCACAGACAAGGAAGACTATATTGTTACCGTTCCTGATAATGATATCATAATTTGCGATGACCTCTTTGGAGGAAGGGGCATTTTTACATTGGATTGCAGTGAAGAATTTTTGGAACTTGCAAACATTATTATGTGTGAAGAGAAGCTAGTAATGCCCACAACTCCTTTTGAGGTAAGACATGTTTATTTGGCTTTATTAAATCATATTGACAATTTGTGATTTGTATATCAAGCCTAGAATAATATCAAGAAGTGATGATATACGTAATTAAAATCAACATCATCTGCCTTCTTGTGTGATATAGAAAATATAATCTGTGATAATACACCAAATTGAAGAAATGTTGTCGGGTCCGAAAAGGTCAAATCATACAAGCTAAGACCGAAAGGGTACTTGGGTAGACAAACAATTTGGCTAATTTCATAACAAACAGCTCTCCAGCATAAAAGACTATCATGCTGTTCATCTTACTAGCTCTACTTGCTTAGTGTACACCGTATATGCAAATGTATTCCCAATTTAGTGGTACTCGAAATCCCTTTCGGTCTGAGCTTCTATGAAGTGACCTCGAACACGACTATGTTTTTTCAATTAGGTGTATACGTTCAATTACAATCATAATATCAGCATCATCTGCCTTATTGTGTAATATAAAACTATAACTTGTGATAATATACGTTCAATTAAAATCATAATATCAGCATCATCTACCTTAAATCACTAAATTAAATCATAGTGTCATCAGAATATCTCTAATCTAATAAAGGATTGCCTGTACATTTACATAATATCAAAAGTATTTTTGATTAAGAAGAGTAAGTGGAGGGAAGCTCCAATACTGGTCCACATGTGCGGGCAATTGGCCTGCGTTCTTTTTCTTCAAGCTTCACAAATTGAAGTTCAATAGGATCTCTAATCATTATATCTGAAGCGGTTGTGAATCTGAGAAACTGTAGTAGCTTTGCTTCATCAAGGCCTCTTATGTGTCTCTGTAAAAATTTATAAGTATCTCTTTCTGCGTCTGTGAGAGGTTGTGCATGCAGACTTTGAAGAACCTTCTTGTTGGTTGGTTTTATGGTGGTATAAAATTCCTCCAATTGCTCTTTTGTCTTGAATGGTTCGTAGCATTTGAGATCTTCAATGATGGGCTGAAAACATGAAAGCATTACATGGGGCTTTTGGATAAGCTCCTGCTTTCCAAGTTCAATCAATACCTTTGTCAGGTTGCTAGCATTAACCACTGTTCTGCATTTGAACCAATCCAAAAAGTCCATCAGCTCCTCTGTGTCATCAGGAAATTGTAGCATATAGTTATCAATGAGGTATTCTTCGTCTACTGAGAGGTACTCTAGAAATGACTCAAGAATTATAATAT